GGAGAGATGCGTGGATGCAGGCAACCTCGCTCTCCAGTCACATGTCATGGCAACTGAGGTGTATCTTGCAATACAGTCTGTCCAGGTGCACTGGCAATCCCCGTAGGGCATCAGGGGGAAGAAGTCGATGGCATGCTGAGTGCAATATGGGTTGTACATGGGTATCGACCTCACACAGAAGGTGTATCTTGCAATACAGTCTGTCCAGGTGCACTGGCAATCCCCTGACTGGGGTGCACACCATGGCGTGAATGGAGTGTTGATGCTGTGGGTGATGGCTGCTGTTATGTCACCGAACAGACGTAATGGGCAGAGAGTAGCCGACAGAGGCGGGGCTGTGGGGTTGGTTTGGCCATAAAATTACACAGGAGGGCGATGATGTTCCTCCCCACACCACCCCACCCCTCCCTCCTTTCTTCTCTTCACTTTAACAGAATTACGTTCTCCACTCGCTGGCCCCTCCTCGTCATCCGCATCAAGACATTGTGTCGACATAATGATGGCCAGGAGGGAAAGCGCAGTGAGAAGTTGTCATTGCTACAGTGCAACTCGACTAAACGCCGAGTACTGCTTCCAAGCTCCATCACGACCGTTTCCTTTCCTATTCGTGGTATCAGTGTGACCAGGTGACTCGGACGCTGTGGGTTTGCAATTCCACGTTTGCAAATCACACAGATTTTGCGAAGATACGGTCCTAGCGTGAGTGTGCGTGCCCTCAGCTTTCCCTCAGGCAATTGATCCGGCGCCGTTGCTGCCCCAAACGCAAAGATGCGCACTCAGTGTCAGTTTAGAAACGAACAGTTGTCATATGAAAAAAACATTGTGTGCTGTGGTGTGACGACTGATGTTGAATTGCACCCGACACACTGTTGTCAGAAGCAGCCAAGGGAAATAAAAGAAACAAGTTGGCCTCTCTTCTCCACTTACAGGCCTTGTGATGCCTGTCCGACTCCTCCGGGGAATAGAACCACCTGCAGCGGCTCACCACAGTGTTGTTGAGGGTCTACTGCCATACACCAAACAAAACAGGCTTGGCGGTGTCATAAAATGGGTCCGGCAGGCCGCTGCCAAGGCACTGGTGGTTTCAACCACCGGTATCTCCGAGCATATTTTTGCCAATGGGGATCAAACGGGGCGCACTGATAAAAAAAAGCAAAACACGTGTACGGATGCTTTTTTTTCTTTCTTGCCCATTTCGGTCTGGTATGTGGAGCCCTAAAGGATGTGTGGCGGTGAACAGCTGCATTGAAACGAAATGGCTGGTAAAGATTATGGTGGCTTAGAGCACCAGTACATCGCAGCTATCGGCCGCTGGCCACTTTCGGAGGTCGCCCCCCGGCCGATTCATTTTATCTGCGGCGCTCGGCCTCCTGAATTCTCGGAGAGGCTCGAAACAGGTTCTCCAGTTGCCTGGGGCCATGTAATGGTGGCTTAAACGCTCACGTGGAGGAGCAACCAAAATGCTTTGGGCAAATCTTGATCCAGGAGCGCAGGTTCAAGCCCATTTGAGCGGAAGTGTACTACCCTCGAGGCCGGTTATTTTATTCTTTCAAAGGGTCACGAAGGGAATGGATATGTACCATGTGCATGGCTTCAAGAGCAGGGTAAGTGCAATGAATCGGACAGGGCAGTTACTTCATGGAACGTAGGAACTCAGTGTCTGGCCTCTACAACACCATGGACTTGAAAGAAAAAGAAAAAAAAAGAGGAAATGAAAAAGAAAGTATCGGAAAGGATCCCCTCTGG